TAATAGAATTTCGATTTTCATATTTGCAAAAACTTAAGTTCAACTGTAATTTCATACACGAAAATTCCATCTTCCGGATTTGGCTTATTGGGGAAAAAAAGGGAAAGCAGTAGAGATTAGAGTTTATAAGTCTACGCATCAGACGCTCAAAACCACCACACACATGTTTCCTCTTCTTCTTTCCTTATTTTCTTCGTTTTCCCCTTGGATTTTCAAATTTCAGAGTAAATTTTTTTTAGGAAAATCCAATTTTCTCAATCGAAAAGATTTTCTGGGAAAATAGAAAAGGAAAGAAAATCTCACCAGCCATTTCACGAATCATTTAGCAGAACTTCAAATAGAGAAGAGCAATGATATATTGTACGAATCATTTAGCAGAACTTCAAATAGAGAAGAGCAATGATATATTGTACCTGATTTGACTTCAAATTGAACCATAGTGTACCTAATTTTTCCTAGGGTTTATCAATCCTTCATCGAAGAAGCTTTAAGGATGAAGGTGAAGAAATGTTAACCTAGAATAAAAAGAGGGAAAAATATATGAAGAAGTTGTGATTGCTGCGAACTTGAGATTTGAAGACACCGAAGAATGAAAAAAATGAATGAATGAGTTTTTCTTTTCCTAAGTTTGACTCGGCAAATGCCTTTTTTTTACAGGATAATTTGGGACGTTCAAAAACAGAGTAGTAAAATTAGGGATATTTTTACTTTATGATAACTTTTTAGAATGTGGCAAAACACATGTAGCTAACGACCGCTTTTCTTGTAGTGGTATCTGATGCTCATGAGTTGGTGAGTATTCGTAGTTATTCGTAAGGGAAAAATATTTGTGCTTTTAAACGATAATTGTTTTAGTTAAAATTAGTATTTTTATTTAATATTTAAATTAAAAAAATTCTCATTTTCTCTCTCCATGATTTATGTTTCTCTCACTATGAAACACAATAATTTTGACTAAAATGACACAATTTTAAGTTCCCCCTATTTGTTAATATTTAATAATTCAAAGTAAATTTTAGAGATTAAAAAAAAAATTAATCATAATTTATTTAATAATTCAAAAAAAAAATATGAAATTGAAAGAATATATTAAACAACATATCTTGTTTAATTATATATTTTATAATAATTAATCCATATAAATAATTATTATATGAATGAAACATTTTGTTAACAATTTTTATCATTATGGGTTCAATTACTAAAAGAAAACTATAAAACAATAAGAATATAAATTTCATACCTTCTAACTACAAAAAGTAACCAATGATTTCATCATTTACCATTTATTTTCTACAATTTCATCAAATACCAATTATTCACAAATGGACCAGAAACAGAAAAGTGGGTAGCATCCAATAATTAGAAATCCGTTGGCTTCTTCTTCTTTGTTTATTTTGGCATGAGACTGCAAATCCTAGGACTATGATCTTCAACATTTAATTGTAGAAGATCTCAGCCTTGTAAAATAAACTTTTTATATTAAAATAATGAATAAAAATGTTGTATAAGAATTATCATTCGTTGGATTCATGACTTCACACCGTGCAGTTCATAAATCAACTGCAGGCAATCCAATCCGCAAATCATACAAGGCTATTCCCGTGTTTGGGCCCAGGCCCATAGTGTCCCATGTCCTGTGGGCCCCACGTACAATTGGATACTATTCTAGCCCTAGTAGACAATTTCGTTGCAAGATATATTTAAAATTTTAAAAATATTATTCGGTAAAAAGCTTCAATTGCCATTTGTTTTTAAACAAATCTCATCATATGTTTTTTCGAAAATTTAAAATATATTTATGTGGATGAAATTAAAATTTAAATAATTTGTTTGTTGATTTTCTTTGAACTTTTTTGTCAAAAAAATTTATTTTTATATTTCTTTCCCTGCGCGGCTTACAATTCTCAAAAGCTAATCATTCTTGGTGAAAATTAATAATCGAATTATCGTTGGATATTATTCCCAATGTCATATTCTTACCGAAAATCGCTTTCCCAGTTGCATTCACCGTTCTCTCCTTTTTCTTATTCTTTTTGGTGAAATCTCATCATTCTCTCCTTTATTTTATCACTTAACTTCCACTTTAAAACGTTATAAGCGTTTTTGTTTCAGTTTCTTTGTTTACATTTCTTACGTATAAAATAAATAAGAGGTTTGATATTTGTCCAAGGATATAAAGTTGTGTTATTTTAATTTTTAAGTGATAGAATAACACAAACAATAAAAATCATCGGGGAATAAAGTGGATACTTTTTTTTTAATTTTAAATTAAAAATATTAATTTATGTCTTTCTCTTACTTAAAATGATATAACTTTATGTACTTTAAAATAATAAACATTTAACTGATAAATAAATAAATAAAAAGTGTCTTCACCAAAAAAAAAGTGTGAATTTGACTTTATCGAGAAAGTCTGCCCTCAAATAGAATTATAACTTTATTGAGAAAGTATGAGCTCTTGCACAAGTGCCTTTTGAGGTAAATTTTCTATTCTACTCCGTTATTCATCACAATTAAAAGTTTAAATAGGTAAGATTTAAATAAGATATATACCATAATTTTATAACTATCTTCCACTAACGATCAAGGTAACTCGCCCATAACTTCTCACACTCTACTTTCTAGACTAATTCAAATTAATTACCACCTAAAAAGGAATAACAAATAACCAAATACAACAATAAGAAGATGAATACAAATAACAAATATCAAATAATATAATTAATAATTAATAATCCATAACAATATTAAAAAAAAAATCTTATTTTCCCTTACATTCTTATGATCTTCTTTACATTTTAAGAGTTATCTTGTCTTGTAAGTAAATGCATCCATCAAGAACAAGTCAATAATCTTTCAACAAAGCAAAGGGATTTTATTCCACGACCTTTGGTTCTTCCATGAAGTCATCAAGATCTACAATTTTTTTCGATGCATTAATTTTCAAGATTTGCATAGAGACATACTTAAGTCAAAGTTTTAAAATATTATTCCGTTTAGTAACAATTTAATAAATTAAACCAATCGAATCATGTTTCAATATATCACTAGGTGAATCAACAAAGCCCAGCACAGTTAGTAGATAGCTGAATCCTTTAAACATGCTGACAGGATTTCGATCACTGACCATGTATATAAAAAAGGCTTTGTTAGGAGAGGCTATATCCACGATCACGTAATCTCTCAGCTTCGAAGGAATTAGTCTTTAACTTTCGGCTGAAAGATACCTTAGAACAATTTCCATATATATATATATATATATATATATATATATATATAACCAGGTGATACATTTGTATGTGAATTAATTACACATAGTTCTTTTTTTTTGTCAGGTGCACATGATAAAAGAATATATTTTATTTATTATATTGTTATAAATAATTAAATTAAATGTAATCACTTAGTATGTGTATATAGAGAAAGACAGAAATAAACACTCATAATTGTTACTCAATAAGCATTGTGAAATTGGTTTTTAACCAACTGCCAACTAAATGACATTCATATTTTATAAAACTTGTATTCATTTTAATGAATTAAAATAGAACAACATTTAATATTTTAATGAAACAACTTAAGTAATAAGTTTTGTTTGATTTACACGGTTAAACATATGTCCGCGTTTCGAACCTACATACGGAAAAGGATCCGTTTACAATTTTTTTTTGAATTTTTTTACAAATTACACTATGTTCTCCCTGGAGAACATAGTGTAACGAGTGTTCTCCCGGGAGAACATAATGTAGTTTGTAAACAAAAAAGTTTGTAAATATAACATGCCCCTAAACATACTACTATAGGAGAATTGGGCTGAAACCCTAAAGTGAAATTAGTTTTATATTCTTTGGGTGTGAAAATACTAAAGTAAAGGACCCAAAAGAAATTAAATGGAAATCGTTACTAAAGTCATGATTCAGCTGACTTAACAAATGACATTTTAAAATCTAAGAATTGGTTTCCATTTACTTATGTACCAAATGAAATAGCTACTATTTTAATGTCTAAATAATCTAGGAAGGTTAGTCACAATTTTTTTTAAAATTAAAAACAAATGTTTATCCACACTCAACTGGGGAAAAATTAAAGGACTTTTATATTTTCTTTGAAAAAACTCCGATCTAAAGTAATATTATTTTTAATAGGGGTAGGATCAATTAACACTCTCAATCTTAATAATTGATCTTATTTAATTTAATGGCTATAATTTATTAAATAGGTGAGTCATCAAATGTAAGCATTGAATTTAAGAGTTCTTATTCAAGTATAATTTGATCATGCCCCTATTTTTAAAGTGATTAAGTAAGATTGTAATCACCCTTAAATTTTAGTGAATTAAGATAACGATGTACCTCAAATTAAATTAAAGGTGAATATACCTTTTTTTAATTGCTTTAAAAACAACTTCATTTATTTTATATAATTATTGTTGCGAGGTTTGAATTTTTAATATCATGCACTTCTACTCCTTCCAGATTAAAACAACTTCATTTTAAATTAATCTTCAACAACTTCTTTAATCTTTATACTCCATCATTAATGAACCCAAGGAAACTGTTTTTAATTGACAGATTCTTCGCAAATTGTTTTTTTTTTTCTATGAGGCTAATAATCGAAATTTATTTAAAATTGTTAAATAAACAGAAGTATTTAAATTAACTTATTTTGAATTAAAATAAATATAATGTCCAAATTTTCAAAAAGTAAAATAAAATAAAATTATCCAAACAAAAATATGAGACATGTCGAGTTAAAAAGTTTAGCATAAAGAATCTTTTGATTCTAAATATTTTGATGCTAATTATTTTCCTTAATTAATTCATAATTGATTATTTCACTCATTGACATTCGAGGAAATAGCTAGCGACAGAGAAAATGTAGTCAAAGACGGATATACCCTTTCTTGCTATAATAAAACCTGCAATCACGCTAAAAGCCTAAAACCATTGAGGTGCTCCTCGTTCTCTCTATTGAAGCACAAAAGAATGAACAAAATCATGAAAGTTCTTACTCTAATACTCACATTTTGCATAATCGTTGCCTTCTCACAAGCAAGGCCAATAGCCACTAAGCCTCAAACGATCGAATCTTTAAAGCTGAACCAAACCCAGCAAAAGGTAACCAAATTTTCTATCAGAAGGTTATATTTATAAACTTCTTGTTTACAAATTACATTAAGTATGATCGATACTCATACTTCAATCAAGATTGTATGATCATTCATACTTAGTGTAATTTGTATAAAAAAATTATAAACGGATAATTCCCCAATTTTTTAGGCTCGTTGCTTTGTTTTTTGAATTTATTTTATTTTATTTTTACTTTTTTTGATAAACCACATGTATCCAACACGTGAGGTAATTCTGTTTGGGATAAGTTCAAGATTAAGACTTTAAACCTCTCACAAAAATGATATTGGAGAGGATGGAAACATACTCTCACCTCACATGCTTAGCTTATATACGCCAATTGAGCTACTATTATCTTATACTTTTTGAAATATTAAAAATACTATCTAGAGGATAACATAGTAGCTTTCCATTATTGACCCATTTATCTATAAAATTTAGTTATATGAACAAATTAAATGCATGCTTCCATTGAAAGACTTAACATAGATTAGAGACCTAAAGATACCTGATTTCAAGTGAAGCATTTCTAGATGTTCTTGCGTACGAAATTAAAGCTTATATCGTATATGCATCATGCAGAAAGCTGGTGGTTGTTCTTATGGGCTCGTCATAAGTACAAGCTGCAGTTCTCCCTTATCTACGGCAGATCAAATCGATCTTTCATTTGGCGACGCTTATGGCACTCAGGTTCCTTTTCAACTCCCAAACTTTATAAGAAATGAATAATCTTATGTTAGTAGTTCACTGTTAAATTAATAATTATTCTTTTTTCACTCTCAAATCGTATGTGTGACACCTAATATTGTCTCTCATATAGTTATTGTTGAGATATATAAAATCATTAATGTAACATTACCCAACAGCTTAAACTTTTAGGTTAAATTGGTTCTTTACATGGTATCATGAGCTTCGTGTCCCGGGTCCAGTGGACTCTCGTGTGAGGAGGCATGTTGAGATATATAAAATGATTAATGTAATCTGTTATCGAAAAATTCATCTATATTAGATTTATATATTGCTTGTAATATTTTTAGGAAAATATTAGCCTCTCGTGTAATAGGAGACAATAAATCTCTCCTACATACTCAAAAAGGCATAGGACTCACTTTAAATTTTTTTTTTTCTTTTTTTGTACAATGGGACCCACATAAGTTTGTGAGTGTAACATGAGATATCTTATCTTATATTACATAAGAAAATATAATCCCATATTTTTATGCACAAATGAAATAATTAAATTCAATGAAAAGCGCATAGTTGGTGATAATTAATATATCGGTTGGATAATTAATCAGGTTTATGTTCCAAGCCTGAATGAGCTTGCTTCAGGGCTATTCGAGGCGTGCGATTTGAATACATTTGAGATAACGGGACCATGTACCACCAACCAAATCTGCTATCTCTACCTATCGAGGACTGGACCCGATGGTTGGATGCCAGAGATTGCAACAGTATCTGACTCTATGTCCCGCACTTTTACAGTTTACTACGATAATTATATTCCTGATGGTGAATGGTATGGCTTTAATTCTTGTATCCGTGTTTGAGTATTAACTTTTTAAAGTGTGTTTCATTAGTTAAAAATGTTTAGGTTTCAGACTGTTCAAAAGGCTTTTAAGCCTAATAAACTTGTACGTTTAAGTAAATATATATAATATTATTATAATATGAACCACGATCATTTTATACCGGTGCAAGACTACATCTCAACCGTTGCTTTCCGTGCATCCAACGGTTATAATTTAGGAAGTCATACAAATTAATTAATATTAATTAATCATTAATTATACTATAAATACCAACCGATGATTTTCGTTCATCAACGATTGAGATGTGATGTAAGATTTGTTAATCTTACACTGGTGTAAAAAGAACTTGCCCCTTGTAATATTGTTGTTTTAAAAAAAAATTATGGTCCTGTGCTTAAATTATATACTAGTGTATTACTCGAGCAATACACGGAAAAAAAATCCAATTTGTTTGTCTCGTTAAAGTTAATGAAAAAATTTAACAAAATTTTATGAATAATGACATAAAAACATAATTCAATGGCTATAATTTATTAAATAGGTGGTCATCAAATGTAAGCATTGAATTTAGGATTTTTTATTCAAGTATAATTTGATCATGCCCCCAGATGTAAGATTTGTTAATCTTATACTGGTGTAAAAAGAACTTGCCCCTTGTAATATTGTTGTTTTAAAAAAATTTATGGTCATGTGCTTAAATTATATACTAGTGTATTACTCGAGCAATACACGGAAAAAAAATTCAATTTGTTTGTCTCGTAAAAGTTAATGAAAAAATTTAACAAAATTTTATGAATAATGACATAAAAACATAATTTAATGGCTATAATTTATTAAATAGGTGGTCATCAAATGTAAGCATTGAATTTAGGATTTTTTATTCAAGTATAATTTGATCATGCCCCCATTTTTAAAGTGATTAAGTAAGATTGTAATCACCCTTGAATTTTAGTGAATTAAGATAACGATGCACCTCAAATTAAATTAAAGGTGAATATACTTTTTTTTAATTCCTTTAAAAACAACTTCATTTATTTTATATAATTATTGTTGTGAGGTTTGAATTTTTAATATCATGCACTTCTACTCCTTCCAGATTAAAACAGCTTCATTTTAAATTAATCTTCATCAGCTTCTTTAATCTTTATACTCCATCATTAATGAACCCAAGGAAACTGTTTTTAGTGGCTAGTCATTGTTGTTAAAATCTCGATTTATCACTACGATTTTATGTTTTTATGAATTTTTTTCACCAAAATGATTTTACTAATATTCCAAATGTTTTTATGTTTTTACAATTTTTTTACATCACGATTTTATATTTTACGATTTTTTAATCCCTCCCGATTTTATTTAATATCTCGATTTTAACAACCTGGAAAAGTGCAGCAATGAATCCAGTAAGTAAACCGACAAAGATAATTGACATATCTCTTCGCAAATTGTTTTATTTATTTTTTCTTTCTATGTGGCTAATAATCGAAATTTAATTAAAATTGTTAAATAAACAGAAGTATTTAAATTGTCCTTGTTATAATAAAACCTGCAATCACGCTAAAAGCCTAAAATCATTGAGGTGCTCCTCGTTCTCTCTATTGAAGCACAAAAGAATGAACAAAATCATGAAAGTTCTTACTCTAATACTGACATTTTGCATAATCGTTGCCTTCTCACAAGCAAGGCCAATAGCCACTAAGCCTCAAACAATCGAATCTTTAAAGCTGAACCAAACCCAGCAAAAGGTAACCAAATTTTATATGCTCGTTGCTTTGCTTTTTGAATTTTTTTTATTTTAAATAAACCACATGTATCTCTTACGGGAAGCAGTTTTATTCGGGGTGGATTCAGAATTAAGACTTTAAATTTTTTCCAAGAATAATACTAAGAAGGATGAAAATATACTCTCACGTGTCATATACACCATCATTTGATGCTTTTTGAAATATTAAAAATACTATCCAGAGAAAAACATATTTTCATCCACACCTACTCTCCGCTCAGCTCATATGGCTATAATTCTTGTAACGGTGAGTATTAACTTTTAAAATTGTTTTTCATTAGTTAAAAATGTTAGGTTTCATACTGTTCAAAAGGCTTTTAAGCCTAACAATCTTTTATGTTAAAGTAAATATATATAATATTATTATAATAATGTTGTTTTAAATTTTTTTACGGTCCTGTTTTTAAATTATATATTGGTTAGCCTATTTCATTTACTTGTTTGGAGATGTTGGCTGATTTCAAGGTATTATTACAAATTAAATCTTTAAATAAACCTAATTAAAAAATTTAGTACAAAATAGGTCTTTAGAAAAACTGTGAGGACCATTGTTGTTAAAATCTCGATTTATCAGTACAATTTTATGTTTTTACAATTTTTTTTCATCAAAACGATTATACTAATATTCCAAACTCTTTTACGTTTTTATGATTTTTTACGATTTTTTTACATTACGATTTTACGTTTTACGATTTTTTAATCTCCTTCCGATTTTACTTAAGATCTCAATTTTAACAACATACTGAGGACATGTTTTTTTTTAAAGGCATCATTGTTTATCTTTTTAAAAGACACAAAATTGTGTCATTTTAGTCAAAATTATTTTATTTTATGATGAGAGGAAGTGTGATCTTTTTTTAAATTTAAATATTAAATAAAAAAACATTAATTTTAACTAAAATGACTGTATAAATATTTTTCTTAAAAAAAAACTGTCATATAAATAAACTAGACTTAAGGGGGGGAATGCCTTGTAATTAAACTAGACTTGTGTTTGAAAAAGAGACATTGGCCTAATTAGTTCCATTAAGAAGCGCAGTTAACAATTGTATTCTCTACAGTTCCACAATTTGAACTTTTCAGAACTGGTCCTTAATTATAAGCGGCTTTTACTATCACATAATATCAATTTAGTCATAATAAATATATATTTGTATATATATAAGGTTCGTTTTTTCTACAGTTAGTACAGATAAGTTATCTGTAGTAAGTCCAATACGACGCCGTTTTGAACGGAAATCATGGTGTATTTGTAATTTTAATTTATTTCAGGGTTATAATAGTCTTTATATTTATAATTTTTTAAGATTTCAATATCAAAACGACGTCGTTTTGGGAATAAATGCAGATAACTTATCTGCATTAACTGCAGAAATATTTTTCTCATATATATATATATATATATATATATATATATATATATATGAGGTTTATATTTATGCAGCTGTTGTAGGTGCAACAATCAAATACTTGCCATATATATACTTGAAAGCATTATATGCGGGGAATCATAACCATACAAAAGCTGAAAGCATTAAATGTGGGAAATCATAACCATACACCTGTCGTTGTTGTACGTAAAACAGCTGCAGAAATGATTTTACCTGTATATATATATATATATATATATATATATATATATATATATATATATATATATAGGATAGGATCAACTTACACCGGTGTAAGAATAATAAATCTTATACCAAATCTTAACAGTGGATTTCCGTACTTCTAACGGTTGAGATTTATTGGGAATTAAAAATTAATTAATGAGTAAGACCTAATAAATCTTAATCGTTAGATGCAGAAAATCAATGTTTAAGATCTGGTGTAAGACTTATTATTCTTACACCGGTGTAAGATGATCATGCTATATATATATATATATATATATATATATATATATATATATATATATATATATATATATATATACATATATATATACATATATATATATATATGGCAAAATAATTTGTGATGTGACTGCATATAAGTATTGGTGCAGTCACTTAAAAACTATATATATGGCAAAATAATTTGTGATGTGACTGCATATAAGTATTGGTGCAGTCACTTAAAAACTATTTTTTGCATGGATAATTGTTAGTCCCATTAATGCTGTATAAAAAAAACATTAAAAAAATATTGTAAAATAACAAAATTATTTGTATTGTAAAATAAATTCAAAATTTGAAAATAAATTAAATGGAAAATTAAGTGAATAATTTGTGGTGGCAGACAACTCATTCAATGTCCCACTGTTTTTTACATTAAAATTTCCAAATTATTAATAACTCAATTCTTTTAAATTTCAAATTTATATTTAAATTTAAATTTTGAATTTGAGATGGTTTGAGTCAAATTTATATGAAATATTTTAGTTGAAAAATAAGTTTGTTGAAAATGTAGAAAAGGAAAAGGGTGTGAAATAAGTTTGACTCACTATAAATTATGAATATTAGGTATTTCCAAAACAATGTGGTATAAGTTGTTAAGAATTATATGGCTATACTTTCTCACAATGATTTGTTTTATTTTCCTTGCCACAATGAGGAAGATGATTTATAGTGAGTCAAATTTAAAGTTTAAATTAGTTAGTTTTTCTTTGAGTCAAATTTAGAATTTAAATTTCAAAAATACAAACCAAGCGTTCAAAAAATAGTAAATTTTTTGTTTTTAAATTAGACGCTTGAAATCTTTTTAAACAGAAAATAAATAAAGTTTAAATTAGTTAGTTTTTGTTTGAGTCAAATTTAAAATTTAAATTTGAAAAATACAAACCAAGCATTCAATGCATTATAATGCGTATTTTTTTTTATAAATTGTTAATATTAGGTCCTTCTAAAATAATGTGGTATAAGTTGTTAAGAATTATATTTTTATATTTTCTGACAATGATTTGTTTTTTTTTCCTTGCCACAATGAGGAAGATAATTTATAGTGAGTCAAATTTAAAGTTTAAATTAGTTAGTTTTTATTTGAGTCAAATTTAGAATTTAAATTTTAAAAATGCAAACCAAGCGTTCAAAAAATAGTAAATTTTTTGTTTTTAAATTAGACGCTCGAAATCCTTTTTATCCTTGTTAAACAGATATTTAAATTTAAAGTTTAAATTAGTTAGTTTTTGTTTGAGTCAAATTTAGAATTTAAATTTTAAAAAGACAAACCAAGCGTTCAAAAAACAATAAATATTTTGTTTTTAAATTAGACGCTCGAAATCCTTTTTATCCTT